TGTGATTATATAGAAGGTTAACTGTATTAATATTTCGAATAAATGTTTTGAACACCACGTGAGCAAGTAAGGTTTGGGCACGACTAAAAAATTTGGGCATGCCTTGGATTAAGGCAGACATGTCCTCTCTTTATCACATATACAACTATATCAAGTTGAAGTTTAATAATACGAGCTCATTATAACAAGAATGAGTTGTTCTACAGTAGTAAACTTGCCATGGTCTTAAGCCAATGAACATGTAAATTATGTATCACATGATTAAGGGCATACCTATCGGCTCCATGACAAGATAATAATCAACTATCATCGTCAAGTCGACTACCATTGACTACCTTTGCACAACGGGTAGCATTTTGGGTAATCGTCGTAAAAGAAAAAAAAAAGGATTATATCTTCTAGCATATAGTCTGGAAGCGCCAACAGTTGTGTTCAAGAAACAATTTTCTGAACACTAATTAGCTAATAATTATTATGGCTTTGTTTTTTATTACAGTATAGTTAGGTATGGACCGTTGTTTTCAAGGTAAAAATTTTTTGGTTGACTAGACCACTAAATTAAAAAATGAATTTTAAAAAGTTTAATTTTGATTTAAAGAAAGATTTATAAATTAATGCAGTAAGTAAAAATTATTTAAATTATATAAATAAGATTTATTTTTAAAGGGTTATTAAGTTGTTAAACACTGTACTTGAAATTACAATATATTAATATAAAACAAAAGCTGATTATAATACGTAATTATTTTTATAATTAAATATTTTAATTAAAAGCTTATATAATAAAATTGTTTTTGTAATTAAATATACACTATTTTTTTGGACATTAATTAAATTTATATTAATAAAGATTTTTTTAAATATTATAAAAACTTTTTAATTTAAAACCAAATTGTTAAATTAGTAACTTTAACAATTATTACAATGTTTTTTAGATTTTTCTAAGTTTTGGATATAAAAATTTTTCAACACAAAAGTTTCACGTTAGTATTTAGGGTTAGAGTTAAGGTTGGGAAGGGTTTTTAGAGGTGTAGAGTATTTTTACTTAGGATTATCTTGTACGTACTGATCAATTAGCCAATTTTGAGATAATATATAGGTGTAAAACACCATAGGTGCGTTTACGTAGTAAAAGTCTAAAACTAATATTAGTGCTTAGTAGATCAACCAATACTATATTTAGTTTTGGTTGATCTGTGATCGACTTAATCACAAACATATGTTTGATTATCAAATTTTTAAGTAAATACGTACTAGTTAGGGTTAGGGTTAAATAGTTTATTCTAGTTAAAATTAGACAAGTTAGTTTGTTTCGAATACTGTATAATAAATATTATTATAGTGTGAAACATATCTAGATGCTGGTGAAATATGGTGAAATGTGGTGAAATTGGTGGTGAGTTGGTGAAATTGGCGTCACCAGCATCTATAGAAACATATGGGGTGTTATATATTAAAACAGCCTATTTTTGAAAAATTGGTTTATTTGATTTTTGAATGGATATCTGTTCAATAAAAAAGTGCCATAAGCAATAAGAACCAATTGTATAGTAAAAGATCCACAAAATGAACTTGATATATTTGTAACTCGAATTACTCAAAATGATTTACATGCTGTTATAATATGTAACACCCCAAAAAATGTCCGAGTGGATAGGTTTATTGGGAGAACTCAGTCGTGATTTAGGACGAAGATAAATGAACATTGCTTTATTGAAGTCTTAAAAGTTGTCTTTTTATAACTTCTACAAGATCAAATCACTAACAGGTTGAAGTAAGGCAAATCGGCATCGCAAGATATCAGATTTGAAAACAGATAATTGGCGCAAATAAGTAGCTATAAGATACAATTCAGATAAAATTTTCGATAGCTCTATCGATTTTCCTATTGAGTTATCAGTTTGCTGATATGTTTTGAATGCCGACATGAATCTGAATTGTATCCTATAGGTATCTTATTTGCGCTTTCAAATTGGGTATCTCGTGATGCCGATTTTGAACTCGATTTGAACTTATTTCGATCTGTGATAGTTATGCATAACTTACCCTTTCGAAGTGATCGGGGTGAAAATTATCCCTAATATGAGTGATCGTTAAACGATTATCATGTGCACATGAAAATAATAATTAACAATAAATAATATCTAAATTGCCAACTTTGTAATAGTACGTATATGCAGTATTTGCAACTTTAAATCTTTATAAAATAGTGAAGTGATATACCAAATTTTGAATGTTATCTTGTCCGCATCTATTTTTAGATCAGATAATTATCAATTTATTTAATTCATCTGTTTCTATTTTTAGCCAATAGTCAAATAAATTTCTAGCTCCGGACATTTAACAGTGTATGTTTTTCTAGTAATAATAGTTATCAAATTACATTTAGATTATACTAAAGTTTATTAGTATTAAGATTAAAGTTAAAATTAAAATATAAATATATAGAAAAAAATTTTTTTTACCAAAATATAAAAAGAAACAAAATTTTGTGCTTCAGCATTATGTTTTGGGGTTCTGTTATATGATGCACCGTGCATTGAGTGCACCCTACTGAATCTCAAAATTTTACTAGGATAACCCTGTTGTGAAACTAGGAAAAAATGCTCTCCTATCTTTATCTTAATATTGTGCGCTTATTTGCTATTAAAATAGGGGTGAACTGTTTAAAATATTTATTTTTTTTTAATGTTTAAGGTGAGACCTTTAAAATATTTCTTAGTTATACAGTATTATATATATATTATTTAGTATTAGTGTACAGTATATTATTAGTAAAACTTTTTTACTTTTCTTGTATTATTAGATATATATTGTATATAAGATTTAGCAATTGTATTGTAGTGTTGAATTTGATGCAACTTAGTAAAAACAAAACGTTATACAGTATTAAACACTGTATATACAGTACAGTATACTATACAGCAGTGTTGGCAATTTTTATCGGCCAAGCATTATTGGCCGGCCAAAAAATGGCCAATTCGGCCAAATTCATATGTTTTTTTGGCCAATTTGGCCAATTTTTTGGCTGAAAGGCCAAACAAATTTAGGTTGGCCGGTAAAATTGACAACACTGCTATACAGTATATACAGTATATATGTTACATATTATACAGTATTTTGTAAATATAATTTGATTTGATAGTTTTTAAGATCTTGTAACTATATATATACCAAATATATACTGTATATATAGCACCATGATACTTCAGCGCTAAAATAATATTTTTTTAAAAAATAATTCCTAATACAGTATACAGTATATTTAATATTAACATATATCAACCCTACTACTGTATACTAACCATTTAAACCTCAGCTAAACCGGTTGGTATCGTAAATTATAACCAAATATGTCAATACATTGAGTAAATCATGAGGCTGTGAAATACATTATGTAAATTTGAGTAGTCAATAATCAAATTAATTAAAATTAATTAAAGCAATATAAGAAAGGAAGAAATCAAGTATTTATAAAAATTTAGAAATTGATTACCGATCTTCATAACAAGTAGCTATATAGAAAAGAATAAATAAATTTTTAACCAAATTCTAAATAAGGCGGAACAAACAATATACTGTATACAGTATACCTTTAACCATGACTTAGCGGAATAATCTCAATTTTAATCTAATGACATCATAGCAAAACCCTATTTAAACTTCATATAGTAATAATGGAACCTGAGCAATCTAGAGCCTTAAAGGTTAGAAATAAAAAAATATTTATCAAATAAGCCTAAGCTGACAAAATAAAAGCAATTAAATATTGGTGTTTAGGGAAAAGTAATACAAACCTTCAGTACGTAATACTATTTATTTTATGACCGGGTCATATGGTCCGATCCACCCGAATGCCTTTAAAATTTTGCCCGAATAACCGACCACCAAACGGATTACATTATCTGTTATTGTTATTCGTTGTTTTTTTTTTAACTAGAACTGCGTATAATCAGGAAAGCCATATTAATAATATAATAGCATATGTGCTATTAATTATCTAATACGTATCCTATTGCAAATTAGTAAATAAAAATGTGCCAGACAATAATACCTGGCTTGTTCAGGTATAATTAAATATTTTTTTATATTTTTTAATAATTAATCCAGTTATATTAAATCCCTAAGCAAATTAGGAATAAATAAAAATCACGAGGTTATTGTTGAAACTTCTGAGTTAGTTTTCGAGATAAACTATTTAAAGACAGGTTATTTAACCTGAATTGTGAACAAGTCATGCATATGTAATTTGAATCACATGACTCGGCATTTTTTTTTTTCGGAACTGAGGGGAAAAAGACAATAAACACACTACTGCACTAATAAAAAATCAAATTATTGGTGTTTTATTAATAAGTCGTCTTCTGTAATTGAGACGCTGTAAACACTTGCTACACTTGTTAACAAACAGGATTTAATTTTATTCGTGTAACATTTGGCAAGTTTTATAATACTAAATAGGACGAGCAAAAAAAAGCACAACAGTAAACTTTGAATATTCATATACTAAAAAAAATATTAACATAGAAATGATCACTATATACATGGTTGTACACAGTATGATGGACCTTGGCTTTTTTTTACTGTTTTTCCTTTTAAGGGTTATGTTAAATTCTTTAATATAAATAATTCTAAAGTTCTAAAATACGCATTTCAGATCCATATATTACATTTATACGTTCTTTTGATCCATATTTCAACTTAAGATACTCTTCATAATCCATAAAAACTGTATTTATTATTTAATATCGAATAAAAAGCGATAATATATCATTTGGAGGTCTATATTATTAAATCTTGGTGATCCATTCTTAATAACGATTTTTTTTATCGATTTTTTTTCAGCATATACCTTGAATATTCCGACTCCTTTCCATTTTATCAATTATATCGATTATTAATACGATTGCACAATTGATTTGTGACAATCTTGGATGCCTGTAGTAATATAATAAACTTGTTAAAAGAAGTTACATATATATTATAAGTTATTATCTCAAATGGTCGTTCAGTTAAAATTTGAAAATTCGTTTTGGACAACCGGAAATTATCAGAAGGGAATTAATATTCTATATGATAAATTAGATCAAGGTAGTGTTGAAAACGAAGAAATAATTGACTTTCTTAAAGTTAGTATTATATTTTATCTTAATTTTTTATATATATTATTATGATTCAAAAAAGTTAACAAAATATTTTACTTGTAGGAAAGGATAGCGGTAGAAGAATTATATGGCAAGAAATTGTGTGATCTTTCTCAAATAGGCAGTCGACCGAATGGCTTTCTGCGTGATGAAGGCGCTTCGTTGCGACGTTCATTTGAGATTGTAAAGCAAGAATGTGACCAATTAGGACAAGCCCATTTACAAATGGCTAATAACTTGTCCGATTTGGTGCTTAAACCTTTTCTCAAACAAAGTGAAGATTATAGTAAAAGTCTCAGAGCAAGTAGGGAAGAGATAACGGGTTATTTGAAATTGTTTGACAAGATGGTTAACGAAGTGGATAACTCACGGACTAATTATATAACGAAATGTCAATTGGCTGATGAAGAAATTTCTACTCATGAAGCTGAAACTTTATCTATATCAGAAAAAGATGTGCGGCAAGATCAATTGTTGACTGTCACACTTGGGAATTTATCATTTTCAGAGGAAGAAATAATGCAATTTCTTGCTAAAATGCGTGAAGAAATTCCTTATAAGGAAATTAAAATACCTATCCTTGGTACTTATAATGACGCTTATTCCGGTGAAGATATTACTAAATGGTTAATGAAAAATCATGCTAATGCAAAATCATGGCAGGAAGCTGAAAATATTGGTCAGGAATTGGCTGACCAAGGTTTTCTACGGCACGTTGGTGCTATTGGAAATAATTTTGTTAGCACTCCTCCCGCTTGCTTTCAATTCAAAAGTAAGGCATTTAACCTCAGAGAAACTGAGGATGTAAATGCTGGAATGGGTTGGGGCGGTTTAATATATGCAATATCTGCTACTCAACCTTCTATAAAACGTGCCCGAAAAGAAGCCGATGAATCCGATGAGGCCTACCGACATGCAGTGAGAAGGTTGATTTATTAAGAATTTTTTTATTTTTTTTTTGGAATTCTCTCTTCCTCTTCACAGTATTTTTTATAATAAAATTTTTATTTAATAGACTAGATAGAACTCGGCTATATCTTGAAGAGTCTATGGTATGTTCGCAGCATAAATTTCATTTAGCATTAAGTTATGATAAATTTTTTATTTTTCTAACATACTGTATCTATTATTTATTTTAATAATAGATGGATCAAATGAACCTTATGGAAAGACATGAATTCGACCGTATAAAAGCTTCAAAAACAGGTATATGATATATTTATTTTAAATTTGTTTTCATACATTAAAAAACTGGAATTAAAACAAGTTATTTAATACTTAAATATATTTTGAAATTTGAATTAGCTTTCCTAAATTATTCTGCCACATGTAGCACCATGATTTCTACCTCTCAACCAATGTCAGAACGTTTAATGATATATCACGAAGCATTGAAACCTGAACGAGATATTCAATTTATTATACAGCATTATCGCACTGGCCCATTTAACCCTAAGGTCATTCTTTATAATAATAAATACAATGGAAGTGCTAATGGTACTTTTTTTATTTTACCCTCAAGATTAACGACCTAATGCTTAAATGATATGTAATTTAAAAACAATGATAAAATAATTTTTATAGATCAAACCTTTGGCGTCCCGCTAGCAGAAAAGGCACAAAAAGATTTAAAGTCTGTTCCCCAGATTGTTACCAAGTGTCTTAGTTGTATTTCTAAAGGTAAGAAAAATAAATTAGTCATATATTATAAAAAGAGCAAATCATTTAAATTTTAACATTATGTAGGTTCATCTATGTGGAGTAATTCAGGTATATTTATTTTTACTAATATTATTAATATTATTATTAATATTATTGTTAATATTATTATTAATATTATTGTTAATATTATTATTAATATTATTGTTAATATTATTATTATTATTATTGTTAATATTATTATTAATATTATTGTTAATAATATTATTAATATTATTGTTAATATTATTATTAATATTATTGTTAATATTATTAATATACATTGCTGCTTAAAATCAAAATTATTTATCTATATTTTATTATATAAAGATAAAAAGCTTTTATGGATAACGGACGTACCTTTAGCCTCGATCCATGCACTTCGTGAAGAAATTAATGATGGTACATAGAGCATATATATTTCAACCTGAATAGTATAATGTTTTTCGAATCTAAGCTTATTCTACTTTAAATTAGGCAGCAAGGTTACACTAAAGAAATTACGAGAATATGACTTGGCTGTAGTAACAGGAGTATTGAAATTATACTTCATGGAACTACCAGAATGTCTACTTACATTTGGACTTTACGACCCCGTTAGACTATTATATTCTTTAAGTTAGTAATCATAATAATTACGAAAAACTAGTGATTGGCGCCGTAAATAGCCAATTACGCAATTATATTTACGACATATATTATTACACAGACTTTTTAAAACCATAATTGTCATAATTATTATTACACGTCGTAATAAATAATAATTACGACATGTAATAAATTACTACATATAAATTACTACATGCAGTAATTATTACAACACATATTTATGTTGCGTTTGAAGTAAAGTATGTGCCATAAATAGCAAATTATGACAATTACACATGTCGTAGCGAAACTTCCGAAACATATAGGGAATAAAATATGAAAATTTTCGGATCATGTAAAACGGTCCGAAATATTCCGAGTAGAATATCAATGAACGCAACGTTCCGAAAGATGTAGAATTTCTACGGCACGTAATAATAATTATGATATGATACGTAGTAATAATAATTACTATACGTAGTAATAATAATTATTACATGTAATAATAATTATTATCCGGCACCTTACTATGATCGTACCAACAGAATAACTCGAGTTATTTTGATGATAATTGCATCATCATCAA